TGGCTGCCTCCTGCATGCCCCCTACTGGGGATCAAGCCTGCAACTGGGGCGTGTGCCCTGATTGGGAATTGAACCTGATTGCCTGGTTCAACACTCAACCACTGAGCCACACTTGCCGGGCCACCACGCCTCTTACAGGGCAGAATAATTCATTCATGCTGAGGCTACTGCACCAATGCTGGTGTCCCTAGTTTTCTAGATATGATACTTAGATATGTTTAATGAGTTAAAATATTTTTTCCAGGATATATGTTTTCATTTTGCTCTAAGATCCATGACCATTTGCCCTTCCAGGTATAATAATTTATAATTTTCTATGAGGAGGATATTAAAAGGATTTTTTTTAAGTTGAATACTATTTTATTTTATTTTTTATTGCTTAAGGATTTCCAACCACAATCCTAGTGTTGGCTACAACTTCCATACTAACAAAAAAATGTCAGGGGCTGCCATGCAGAAGAAGAAAAGCGTGTCCACCATGTAACTGTTATTCCTGTCTCCTGATTTTTGTTACTTTAAAGTCCCTCACACTACCTCCAATGACAGTATCTGTTCTCTTGGTTATTGTCAGTCTTCTCCACTGGCTGAAGCTCCCTGCAGGTACAGAGGCAGGTGGCCTCAGACGGCTGTGCAGCCCACCAGCCGGACACTGATGGGCACTTGGCCTCTTCTGTTTATACTAGCCTTCCTAGCCCCTATAGCCAGAGAGTGGCCCTGAGGTGCTCAGTGCATATCTGTTGAGTAAATTAGTTTCCCCTCAAGGTTGGGAGGTCACTTTGACTCTAACTGGTGCACTCTCAATTTGGGAGCTTGCAAATTGCTTTTTATTTTGTTCTCTGCCCACACTTCTCCCCTCCTCTAATAAAAACAAACAAATAAAAAAGGCAGAGCCAAATGTAGTTGTCGCTAGCACAACACAAGGGCAATTTAATGATGACTAGGGTAACACCTAGGATGAGCCTGCAGGATTAACCTGCATGCAGGTGAAGATGCTGGGGCCCTCCCTGCACAGGTAGGGGTAGAGGTTGTACCACACACAACTACTGAATCTCGCTGCTTAGTTTGTGAGTCTTACCCCTAACCAGTTATTGCTAAACTAAGATACTGGCTTTGTCATCAAAGCTTTCTGTCCCATGTCATGGTCCAAATCAAATTTTAATGGCAATATCCCTGCAGTAGGATGATGCCTGATCTCTTGGGATCTGCAGTTCTATACAGGTGGCGTGATGAGGGCCATTTCATCTTCCATTCTCACTCTCTCTTGCTCCCTGACATGAATACCTTTCAGCTTATAATCCTTTCTAGCTGTTAAATTCTTTATTTCCTTCAAAAACAGAGTTCCACTGGTGCACATGCACACAAGGAAAACCACTCAACCTTGATGTGTGGCCTCCCATTAAAAAACAGAGTTGAAGAGAAGATTAATTTTTTAAAACCAGCTAATAAAAGGGGCAAATTCTTACAAATCAATTCTTAATTGTCTTTGATTGCCATCCTCACTCAGCCCAATGCTTCAGAGCTGTTAAAGTGTATACTGAAAATTAAATCAACCAACCCTGGCAAGGGGGCTCAGTTGGTTGGAACATTGTTCCCTGCACCAAAAAGTTGTGGGTTCAATTCCCAGTCAGGGCACATACCTAGGTTGCAAGTTCGATACCTAGTCGGGGTGCATACAAGAGGCAATGGATCAAAGTTTCTCCTCTTTCTCTCTTCTTCTCTCTTTCTAAAGATCAATGAAAAAGACAAGACCTCAGGTAAGGACTTTTTAAAAAAATTAAACTAATCAAGTAAAAACAAGAATAAGAGAAGGAACAAGTCAAACTTAAAAGAATTTTAGCTCAATGAAAAGTGTCAAGCGTAAGGGAAAAAGAGGTACTCCTGAGTGTCTAGCACAAATATATTTAATAACTATTCAGTAACTAATGGATTAAAAGGATAGTGAGAAGACAAATTATTTTAAAGTAATGAACAAGCCTTGTCAATGAATTAAACTAAATAGTCACATGAATGTAACACCAGAGAGTGTCCAAGAACAAATCTCTTTCAGAGATCACTCACTGATGAGCCTACATAAAATGATGCCTCTGAAGACCTCATCACAACAGGGTACAGTTTGAAAGAAAAGTAGAATATACTCCAATGCCTTCAAGGCCGCTGCACCATTTCCTTTAATGAAACTAGAGACTTTCTTGAGGCTCAAGCGCATCTACTTAGCATGGCAGATCTTGGCCAAAATAAACTCATTGACCCTGTGAACAGGGCTGAAGGTTTGCACACCTGTGTGGGCTAATGTTCCTAAAGATCGCAGCCCCAGGACTCCACATGACCTCTGCTCAGAACACATGACCAAACGCCCTCAATGGCGGGGTTTCCAGTCACTGACCTGAGTCAGAGGTGGCTTATAATTCCATGGAATCCTCTGGCCCAGGGCTGATGAGTAATAGTGGAGCATAGCCGCTTACATCACTGAAGCGGTGCTCTTTATGTATTTCTGTTCAACTCCAGTAACCTCACTGAATCTATGGTCTCTGTGTTTCCACTTAGTCTGAAGTGACACTGTTAACTACCCCTGGGAGTTGACGATATGTCACACGTATCATGTGCTGTTCCAAAAATTTCCACAGAAAATTCCTTTCTCTGAGAGAAGAAAGCAATCCTTTGTTTTCAGCGATGATGTCAATCAGGAGCTGGTATTTTAACCTTTCTTCCAGTAACTACTTCTAAGATGAAAAAATAGCTCACATATGTCTCAGCTGAGAGTACAGCTCATGGTTCAAGATCTCGTGATTATTTTGGCTGATCCAGTTTTGGTGACAACAGCAGGGCAGGAGGGATTTTCTATAAGATCTAGACCTGGGGCCTTTAGATGGGTCAGAAACAAAGCCCCTTTGATTTCAGGAGGGTAGCTGGCCGTCTCACCCAGGCTCGACCCACAAGTCCTGGCCAGTGGGCAAGATCACACGGGGAAGCTGCCTACCTACATGTGCTCCTGCCAACCTGGGTACCAAGAAAACCAGGCCAAGCATGGAGAGAGCACAAATATTTACTGTAAGTGAAGGTGTGCCAGGTGACCCTCTGTGGAATTCTGAGCCACTGAGAGCATAGCTGAGACAGATTCTGTAAACACCTGAGAGCACGTGCTTCTGCCATCACCCTGCAGGTGAATGACCTCAAAAGCCTCTGGGATCCAAGCTGAGAGATTAGCAGGTTTGCTTCAAGTCAACCTGGAGAATGGGAAAGCCTCTACATTGCTAGCACATTAAATCATCATTAACTCAAATTGCAAAGGAGGGAACCCACAAGAAGGGACAGATTTCTGCCAAGGTGAAAGAAATGATATATACATGACTTCACCTGAAAATTGATTTGGAAAAGCCCTAAGAAATACTGACTGACGAAATAAATATCACCTGGAATGAGATTAAAAAAAGAAATCAAAACCCTCCCACTCCAACACAATGGTCATAACCACAAAAACCTCAGTTTTATTAACAGCCTCTATGATGTTGTCAATAAGTATATAGGGCTCCCCACCATCATCAGACCCACCAAACAACCCACTCTAGAATAAATTTTTTATGCTCCTCAACTAGCAAATGTCTATCATTCTGTTCCTGCCTTCATCTTGTCTCTTTCTGTTATATTCTACAGTGACAAGAAAATGTCCTAAACATGTTGTTTTAAATACCATTAAGCTGCAATACAAGACTCCCCCGCAAAAAACAAATCTTTTTAAGAAAAATGTCTGTGAGAATCATGTCCTTCCTTTTCTCCTGCCTAATTAAATATTTCTGTTATCTCTCTTCTCAATTTCACCATCATCTTACTCAAATTCTCATGGGAATTAAAATTCACCTTGTCCTCCGAGACATTTTAAAAAAAGCAATACCACATGTTCTTTAAATTCCCTCTTATAGTTTAGTTACTTGTTTCCTTTTCTTTGTTTGATTGGCATACCCTAACTCACATGCATGTAAACAATATACGCATCAAATCTGAGTTATTCTTTAATAAGATATTTAACTTTAGAAATGCTTTTTTGAAAGTACCTGGCTCATTAACATAAAGGTGTGGCCTGCACTCCAGGTTATTTCAGGCTTTGGCAATATACAGGCATACACTAACTGGTGAAACTAACAGTTTATGAATCACCATCAAATGAGACAGTAAAGAAACAGAAAAAAAATCACGTGTTAATCACATAGTGTATTCATATGTATGAGTAGTAAGGGTGGGAAATGACAGCAAAACCCAAAGGAAAACTTCAGTTGACTGTGTCCTGGGCTTTAAGTTTTGTTCTCTCTAATTGATAATAACAATAACAAATAGATTTAGAATAAGACATGTAAGCCAAATACTAAGGGGAAGAAAGATTTCTATCACTGCCAAGCAAAAATTCAGATATAAACCATAAATCATTGTTCAAGCAAACACTTCACAACCCTCAGATGTTATTTCATTTCAGGCCAAGTTCAGCTGGTGTCTCCCTCTTTTCCAGTGAGATTTCTAAGTCAGAAACACTCAGAAAAGAGAGACCCAACACAAACAGGAAGAAAAACACAATTGTTTCCTCCTTAACCAGTGACTTCTAAATCAGAGAAAAATTCCCAGAAATTAAGTGGTTTACATTTTCTATGATTTCAAAAGAAAACAAAAGTATCCATGTGCTTTCCTTTTATGAATAAAAAGCGTATATGTTTCTAAATAGCCCAGCCAAAGATGAGACGCAAAGAGTAAAGAAATCAGGAGAGTTCAGATGACAATGTTTTTCAATCTCATTCTTTGCTCCTGTCCCATCTATACACACAAGGAGAGCAAAACTAATCAACTACAGCTAACCCTGAACACCAAAGAGAAGTAACTTTATAAAGAAAAATCTTGGTATGGGCTAGAAGAATGCCACAGATATAAAAACAGCACTACACCAAACTCCAACTCCAAGCCAATAGTAGATACTATGCATTCATATAATAAATATACAGTGGTGTCTTTGTGCTTACCTATAATTGTCCTCAAGGCTCACGGAAAACAAGCCACCTCTCCTGCCGGAAGGCGTCAGATTGGGCTAGTGTTCCGGTAGCACAGCTGGAAATTCACCTCGAGGACCCTCGGATCTTCGGGCTCTGGTCTGTCTTCTCCTTCCCTGTGTTGAAATGCTGCCAGCACACACCTCTGCTGGTTCTCGGAGACCCCCGGCAAGTTTTAACACAACTGAGGAGGAATGCTCCGAGCTGGCTACTTATCCTGATGATTCACTTCAATGACAGCTAGAAAGAAATGCTCCTTGGTGGAAAAGGAGTTGAGTCAAGCTCCACCCCTACCGTAAGCCTAAGTAACCCCGCCCAGCTCGCCCAGCTCGGCA